CCAAAGCCCCTCACCCGCAGTTCTGCATCTCTTATGTAATACGTCAGCACCTGTACGGAAATGCCACTTACCTTCCTCAACTAACGCAATCATTTATGATTCCCGCGCGAAATTGACATGTATTTTTTTTTCAATCACAGTTTAGATTTGACGCTATATCTAAAGGAGGGAGGGTGGCGTTAGCTGATCAGTAGATATGGTGGGGGTCACTAAGGTGAATCGCCCCATTCTGCAGGAACAGCAATATACAAATTAAAGGCTCGAGATATTTCTGATTTTTATGAGGGCTTAGATCTTTATCTTGAAAAAGATAATAATGAACGCCTTGACAGATCATGCTTCTACCTCTAAATATATACTATTCGCCCAGCCTATTGTTGAGATGCGACCATGTGGGATGTGCACAGTTTTATGGGGCATCTTATAAACTAACTTGCTGTCCATTGACTGATCTTTAAATACCACTTCACAATGTCTTATCTCATTCATTTTCCAATAACGTCTTTACTTGATCCTCATTATATCCCATTAAACCTAACATTTTACAGCTCTTTATGACTTATTATATTCCTACTTTCTGAAGGGTACGGTTGTACATTAAATGCACAAAAAGGTATAAAACAAAAACAACTGGCACAACTGAGGATAAATGTATTAAAACCAAAAGTGGACATCATGATAGTACGAGATATACGTGTAGCATTATACATTGCAAATGAACGTTGTCAGCCTAGGGAGTTTTCTTTTTTTTAATGCATTTATTAATGATACTTGCACTTACCTATTTCATTACAATTTAATGATTCACCTCAGCACTTTTACTTTTCTAAAACAGCTTTCAATCCCTTGTAAACGTTGTACTTACCTCAATTTTGGTTGGTTATCGTATGCCGACAACCACGGGATGAAAACGAAACGAAGTCGATTTTCCCGCTCAACCTGGAGGACAATTGTACAATTCAATAACTATACAGCCTAGTTCAGACAATGTGTATTTATACATATATCAAATATTTAACTGTTGAAACATTATTAACTTGTAGACAATCTACGATTTGATATTATATCATACTTGATCGTGCCTGTAAAAATGGCATGCATTTTCATGTAAATTTAGATGTTTATATGAGAATATACATTATTATTATTTCCTTATTTGTACACTTCATTTTAAATGTTTCTCTCACATATACCAGTATTCAACTTATTTCTAAATGAACAAATCATATTATATATTCTGTAAGTTTTCATAAATGTACATATGTTCATGCCTGTAAAAATGGCTGGTTTCTGTAACAGAAATAAAAATTATTATTATTATTATAACCCGTCTCGATGTAGTCATCCAGAAATTCATGGGTTGCAGGCTAGCTTCAAAAATAAGTAGTATCTTAACACCTTCGGATCTACGACCAAAGTCACACTTAACTGAAGCCAAAGTGTCGCAGCTAAAACTGCTGCAACTATATTATATGGAGTCTTACAGTCTGCCACCACACAGTCCATGACCTCATTTGAGAGGTCCAGATTCAAAAGACTGGTAAGCATTCACTTGTAGAGTTCTATTTTCACTGTCTACAAGCCTGAAACTGAACACAAGTGTTCATTTATATGCTTTCTTAGGACACCTGTAGAAGTAATTACTCTTGCACTTGTCACCCTTTTCTCTCTTAAAAAACCCGCTGCACTTGGTTTTAAATTTTCTTTTTCGAAACACAAGGTCTCGTCGCAGGTCTCAGCCCATTAGAATAATGACTATGATTATGAACTCAAATTAGACAATTATTTGCACCTGTTGTTTAGTTTTTTGTAAGGTGGTGTGGAATTTTTAAATGTGCGATAAAGTTGTTTGCTTCCTAACTGGTGTCTTCCTTTCTTTCTCTTGTCCAAAGGGTCTCCAGAGACAAATGAGTAAATGTCTGTCTACCTCTCCGAGCCAGATAAAATTTCACTTCACCGGTGGCGTTTAAGAGAACGCGTTCATGGCATTTCCTCAAGCAGTGTCTACCTCAGTTCACCCAAGTCTCTCTGCCGACTCCAACCAGCCCTCGTCTCCGTGTTATAGTCCTTGTCAAGATCAAATCTAGCCTCTTTGATGAAAAACAAATGCACTGAATAGGCGATTCCGGACATAGCTCCGGGAGACAGTTAAATTGAACCGACATTTATGGGGGAGTCTTTTATGAAGGTTGTTTGATATAGAGTCCCTTCGATACTACAGTAAGCTGTGGCCACTTACGTCCGGTGAGTGTTCAAAAAATTCAGACAGGTGGGACGAGTTATCAAGTGGGAACTATACCTTCAAGATTTGTGAAGCTTTACCTACTAAATGATAGTTGGCCTTGCAGTGTGTTTGCTTAGGTTTCTCACTGGACATGACCACTGACATGCCTCTATATCAAAGGTTCAAGGCGTCACCACTTAATGTTACCAAACAATACCGTGATGTGTCAAAATAAAATCTTATCCATAGTGGAGTTAGTTTTCTGCATTAATACAAGCTGCTAATCAGCAGTTCTTGCTTCTAAAAATTTAACCTTATAAGATGAACTGTCTGCCAAGTTTGAGCAACTCAATAAATTATTTTCCGCTCATCGCAAGGGCACTGTGGAGGTTTCCAGATGAATCTCTCTAAGCCCAAGGGACCAAGATATGTAACTAGACTAGACAAGCATCAGGCGCGCTTCCTTGTTCTGGCAGCCGACTAAGCAGTATGTATGAATACTGGTATGTTAGTCTAGTTTGTTTGTGCGTATGTAATAGATGCAAGTTTTATTTTTTATGAACTCTACTTTCTCCCCTAGACAATCTCACTTGACAAGTGTTTTGGAAAGGAAACTGACCTTCTTTTGACAGAGAGTGTTAAGTCTAGAAATATGCTGTAGAAGATTACCGCAGTACTTTGTATTCTATTCCTAATTTTTATGCATATTCATACAATTTTTTGTTTATCACAGACTGTCGTACATTTTTGGCTTCATTTCACGCACTTATTAATTGCCTGTCGTTTTATTTAGTCTACACGTTCTTTGTGTTTGGAAGCCAGAGAACCACAAATCTGGAAATCTGTAATAGACTGCAATGCAGCCATAAGAATCGGGCAGCCTGTCGACGGCCGCGGTTTCGTATGCCTGCGAGTGAGATAAACATGTGATTTACTCGCTTGCGATTGGGCAGTTTGTCGCAAGAGTTGCGTAATTTCATACATCATTTAGCTGCTTGGTGAAGTGCGGAATTATCAGGAGTGTTTTATCTGGTTGGGTGCATAACTAACAACATACTAATAAAGCGCAGGAAATAAATAATATACCAGTGGATATATTTGCTGGATTCAATGAAATCATCCCATGCCAAGACCTAAGAACTTGGCAGGGGTGTCGATAATGCATCCAATGTTCCGAAGAGGTGGTAAACTTATGCAACTTCAATTATCACTTGACTTTTATTTTCGGAGATCCTGAAGTTAGTATAAAATACACAGTAGTCTGGTTACTCATGATGAAAACCGTATGGTTGAGGCAGCATATAGTACCTATATACACTGTATTCTTGTCACGGAGATCAGAGAGCAGGCATCAAACTTCACGGTAAGCAGTGTAATACATGTAGGCCTCATGCTTTTAGTCGACATACAGGGTCTCAGATTCAGAAGTCATCTTGAGTTCAGTTGGAATAAACTAGTTTATCCCATTAGTATTGAGAGATTACTGTAGTAAAAGCAGGTAAATACCTCCTCCATAAGATTAGGTGTTACTTTTAATTGATATGATTGTATTATTAGTAGTCATCTTTTTAAGTCAATGATGAATTCGTTGCGATAATAATACCTTATTATTAGTGATGTCAGTACTCTTGTTATTTGCCATAAAGCCGTTGTCATTTTTGTTAAAACATTTTCACGGTCTTCGGAAACTACTGCATAACTTGTCCTTAAGTAATTTTATCATTTGATGATGCCTCAATGGACCTACTAGATATCGATCAACGATAAATTGCGAAGTCCCTTAAGTTTAGTGAAAACTATTTAGCTACTTATGTATGGTTTGTAAAGTGATTGCTTGTAAATGCTTATCAGGCAGGCATCTGAAAATTTTTATATTCCGATTATACACGTGATGCCCAAGTTAATAATGCTTTTCTTAAACATTTTCAGACTTATGAAGAAACATGTATGTGTCGTGTACGCAGATGGAACTGGCATTAACAAAGAAATACTCATCTGAATTATCTGTACATCTGAAATTTAACATTTTTGTACAAAAGCAATGATACTGCGGAAATCTTCTGTAGCCCCCGATTCCATGGAATCCCCGAAATTAGAAATCACCTGGAAATGAAATTAAGCAATCAAAGGATGTAGGCATTGTTACCCCATGAAATACAAAAATTAATTGCTAGGAAATAATTAATATTCTGCTAGACTGTTTCTCATTACGCCAGTCAATTTTTTTTCAAGCGGATGAAATGGACATAGTATCTGCCTGTAAACACCAAGTCTATGCAGTAGAAGAAGTAAATACCATTCGGAGTATTTCTGCAGATTTTCTCTAAAGAGATGCATGTTAAGGAGCCTTGAGACCATCAGCAAAAGTAGACAACAGAGTAAGTAAAAATAATTGACAAAACAGACTAGCCTAGTTCATTATGGCTATGCCTAATCCTTTTAACTGCAAAAATACATCACTTAAAGTGGTTATAATGTGTCTTAAGGTAATTTTGCATTTTCTCAACGAAACAGTACGTATTTCAACTGTTTGCAAGCTGGCTGAAAATTACAGCCAGATAAGGACACCATCATTTGGTATTTATGCTAAAACCTCTATTTCACCGACTTTTGCAGGAATACATGAATAAAGGTTAGTAAAACGACTAATACTTGACGAATTTTGAGGTATTTTCAATAAATGTAATCTCTAGACATCATCTGATTCAATGACTTGCTACCGTTAACAGGCTGCCCATGGACTGATGAATTTGTTTATTCACTGTAAAGGTTGAGGGCCTTAGTTGACATGCGCGTGCACACTTTTGATTTCAAGTTTCCCCGTTTGTTATTTAGGCAGTATATGTATCCCCGTGTAAATGAAGGCAACGAAATCTCTCACATATGCAGTCAGAGACACACTAGTTTCTCCAACTCTTCTACTTCGAAGTCGTTCGAACCCGTCACCCTGTCTTTGCAAATGTGGGTCGTGTTCTCATGAAGACATTTATGTCAATGTTTTACCTGATGTTTTGTTCACTACTAAGCCTGCGAAGCTAACAGCTGCTATCAATAAGTTACTTGAGCGAATATGTGAGCAAGGGGATAAATCAGTGCACTACACACATAACAGGATGGGTAAAATAATATCTAATGTAACTAGCGACGAACAGTGTTGGTGGAAAGACATGTTTGTGAGTTTCAGTAAATTTTTCTTGTTAAGTGTGTCTGTTTTTTAAAACAAGACTGTTTATTCGAATCGGTTGGCAAGAATAGTGGATCCACGAATGTTTCTGTGCCCTGAATGATATCATATGTATATCATGGTGTTAACACTAATAACAGACAGCGATGTTCTTATTGCACAGACCCCGTGGTCTGTTCCACTGAGTGTAACCAGTAAGGATTTAACTTATTCAAAACTTCGTGAGAGAAAATTCCGAGTCGTACAATTTCCGACAACGGAGTTTTGGCTGAAGTGTATCCTCAGCTGTTAAGTTATAAATAACAGAAATTGGCTGTACGCGTTCAACCCTTGTTCAAGCAGAATGCGATGTAGTGATAAAAAGTTACCTCCAGACTCCAGAGAAAATCTCGCTTAGGAGTGTGGAATTATTTTTAAACGTTATTTCTCAGTCTATTCACCTGTTGTGTGACATTACTGTTTCATTCACGTTAACTGTTAGCTGTGATCGGAGTTAAGACGTATCTTCAAAAAGCTCTGTAAAAAATCAAATAAACTGTCTATTTCTAAGTGAATGTGAGGTTTTGTAGGTGACAATGACTATTTTTATCCAGACGCTCTAGGTATAAGTGTAATATTACTTCAGTTATTCTGGTGAAAATTCATTATCTGCATAACCATGAATTTAATTGTATAGGTCCTGTGAATCAAACCAATTTAATTGCACTTCTAGCATATTCTGTAAAATCAGCCTATTCTTGTTATGATATACAAGTGCAGACATAACGATAGAAAACTTCATTCTTGATAACTTATCTATGTATAGTTTTGAGAAGAAGGGTGATTTCAGTATCGATGCAATAGCACAATAGGCATTACAATTCCAAAGTTACTTGTTTTACAATGTAGATAGCTTACGAAAATGGAGTAAATTCTGCACTACATTTTTGGCTCATACTTCTCATTCATTTCACCTTGTTTTCTGTTGTTTATAAAGACATTCTGTGAAAATTAATTGCCTCATACATTCTTTTTTTCCAGTCGGTACAAGGTAAAATGACACCTTTGGTGTCACCTTTTGTACGCGTTCTAAATGTTTTGATTAATTTTGAAGACTTTTACACTAAAAGCCAAACATACGATCTCACTGAGATAATCAATATGTGCCGATCGTGTGATCATAAAGATAAACCAAATTATAAAGCCAGTCGTTTAAAGTTTTCAGTTGGGCTTTGCTCGTATCTCAGTAGTGTTGATATGTTTTACTGGTCTCCTGGTTCACGGGAAATCGCCTTCGAAATTGCTTTAGCTTGGGGAAAATTACTATCAGATCGATATGCAAATGAAGAAGCTGGTGTACAAGGTACTTGTCGCAGTAATTTAGCACCACAATCATTCGGTGTAATTGAAAATTGGGTTGAATACTTATCTATGGGTAAATTGAGTTCGAAAGCTTCAAGATTCATTCAAATAGAACCAGAACAACCTATTTTCTCTGAAGAGGTAAGTTACAACTTTATTAATTATATGACATGATATTATTATAAGCATGTAAACGACTTTTTTTAGTGAATTATGCAGTTTGTTAGTAGTCATTTTGAGTTTCATATCACCCACTCCATTCAGAGAAACTGGATAGTGTCGTCAGTCCTCACAGTTTGTGTGACTCATAACCTGATTCGTGCGACTGGTTTCTGATCACCCAGCCAAATTGTAGTTTAGGGATCGAAACCCGAAACATATGGGGAGGTTAAGGAAGATATGCTTTAAAAAACAGTTTACATTCCAATTTACCTTACGACGATCCTTGGAGAGGTGTAAGGGTTTTTGCATGGATGAAAATCTACAATCTCCAATTCTAAAGAAGCACCATGTGATCGGTATATTTTTCATTAATCAAAGAACTGTTTATATTCGTTAACCAATCACTGGGCGTGTGATTCGGGCTTGCATTAAATGACAGGAAATAGAATGTTCAAACATACATATTATTCTTTTGCTGATGCAGTATTTAAGTGTGGGAAAAGTATTGTCTCTCACATCAAATAGAATGCTCAAATAGAAAGATCGTATTCTGTTGCTAATGCCATATTGAACTGTAGGAATCATATTCCGTTAGAACACATTCATTGTCTGTATCACACTACCACAATACTATTTCAATATATCCTCTTTATTTTATCTTAAGCCTGTGACCACTATAAGCGACTTAGTCCAAAGGGAAGACGTTATTAGCCATCTAAAATAGAATTATCAACATCATATCAAAGATTTCAACATCAGAATCTCCATCATGAGAATATCTAACACCGTGTCGAGTATTTGCTGAGAAAACTGTGATGAAGACAACTTTTAATTTACCGCGAAAGTTTTAGTGAACACTAATACAAGAAGACTGCAGCATTGTTGATGATATTCCGAAGGTGCTTGTAGATGACAGGTGCGAATATTGAAGGATAACAGGAGAAAGAGGGAGAGAAATAAAGGTATTAGCAATAGGTGGTAATAGTCAAGTAAGAAACACGCGAAACATTGAGAATTAGTTCAACTGGCCTAGATCAACTTCAAGGTTGTCCACCATTTAACGCCAACCTCAGTTCACTGATATTGTAAAAACTGTAGTTTTTCTCTCATTTGTTTGCGTTCCCACTGGGGCATAAGGCTTTAAACTCAGAAGTTTCCGTAGTATTTGTGACGTATTTTGCGGGATGAGTCTGCTAGTCTTACACTCGACGTCCTCCCGTAACTTGGCTTACTACCGGCTAGGAGTGTGTAGGCTGGGAATCGAACCCTGGAGCATGTGTGGCGATTAATTTATGCTCGCAGAGCGAAAGAAGTATTATTGTTTTCAACAAAGTGGCTATGTTATTATTATTTTTATACTTTGAAACATTGACCGGAATGAACCAGGTTCTGGCTATATATTGATAATCTTGAGATTGTTTATTCTGAATATTTTACACATAACCTGTGGTGTAGACTATCTCTTAATCATAGAAACTAAGTGTTACATAGTAACGGCTATTGTAAGGGAAGAGTTTGAACATCGTAGTATAGTATGTGATTTCATATCACATAGATTTGATTATAAAACACACAATAGAACTGTATTGACAACTACATAACTTGCCATGTGTTACGTATGCCAAGCCATCGCCTCCCTCGACGAGCTATGTTAGCGGATATAGGGTCAGGCTGGAAAAAAGCTAGCGGCGGTCAAACAAAAACTTGGCATCAGTCAATGAAATCCACAACAGTTGGTCTAAGCCACGTAGGAAGGTGTAGACTTCCAGGCTGGGGTCCTCGGGACGGTAAAAATCTATGGTTGGAAACAATTGGTGACATGGCTCAAAACCGTTCTCAGTGGCGCAGATGCATCCACTCCCTGTGACTTATGATCTTCAATGAAACTGTTTTGTATTTCTTTATTACTCCTTTGTCTCACACCTCTGCTCATTGTTTCTATTATGCTTTTCTTGTACTTTCTTCTCTTGCTTCGCGTGCTACACGGAATGTGGCGACTTGAACTTCCGCACATTTGTGCAAAGTTCTATATCGAAAACAGGCAGACAGACAGAGACATAACTTGCCCTATGCAGCCTTACTCTCACTTGCGTTTTAATACATTTTTCTATATATCCGGTACAGGTGTTGCGTCATTTCGACTGCACATGTTCGGTGTGTTGTTTCGATGAAGAAAGACTCTGTGATTAACCTCTCCCTCTTCATCTAACTATATTGACGACTGGTTTCAACATAGAACTTTGCACAGAAATGCAGCAGTTCAAGTTACCACACCATGTAGCACACAAAAGGAGACAAAAGGGAGGGAAATGAGATTCAAAAAGACGATAATAAGCAGAAATATGAGGCAGAAAACATACTATCATGTAAAAAAAAACATTAGGGTTTATATTGAATATGACAAATCACAATGGGTGATCGCATTTGAACCATTGAGGAATATTTTAAGCCATATCACCAATTGTTTCTAGCCCTTGATTCTTATAATCCTGAGGACATTCCTCCCGGTTGATGGTGGGGCTCAAACTGACTTTTAAAGATTTCATGTACTGTTGGCATGCTTTTGTTTGACCACCATTAGCTCTTTGCCAATCTGATCCTATATCGGCTAACATCACCCGTTGGTCGAGGAAGGCGGTGGCCAGGCAAGCATGCCTAACACATGCCCTGACCATCTCGTTGCTTGATTTCCCTCCCTTACCTAACACTCGCCACCCTATCCTAACGCGTTGTGTGAATACATACAAATGAATGCTTTGCAATGGCGAACTGTTTCCCACTGATATGAACAGCAATAAATTGTGGTCGACATGTAATCTAGCTGTCAATACTATTTAGTAATAATAATAATTTCCTTTATTCCAAAACAGTACTTGTGATGCAGAAAGGAATTTTCAGCATTTCACTACAGTATTTCATCCAGTTAGCACATTACCAATAAATAAAATTCTACATAGGTCAAGGTTAATCTCAGTCAGTTTCAACAACAACCTATTGGCATGTCGGTAGCAAAGCCAAAATTGAACAGGGTGTTTGAAGGTGTTAGAAAAGTAGATGCTAGCATATTTACTGGCGTAAGCGGTAACAAAAAGGTCGAGATATACAGTGTGAGAAAACGAAGAATGTTTTAATAGTTAGTAAGGAAGAGAGGAACAAAGCAGCACATAACAACAACAAAAAAAAAGAGAAAAAGAAGAAAGAAAAACGTTGTACCTATAAATGATATGAGTTGGAAAGACGAGATCAAATTGTTCTACTGACTAATTAATAAGTCATAAGTTTCACGCCTAATGCTTTCTTTATCGCACAGAACACGAGATAAGTAGTGTGTGGTTGAGTTTTTATACTTGCTAGTGCGAGCATATAGTTTTCTATATAGGCTATTGGTTCTACCTGAGGAGATACAAGGGGAGAGTTGTGAATGAAGAGGGTGGTGTGAGTTAGATAATGTGGATTTAGGCCATTTTTCACATGAGTCCAAGTGCCTGTCGACCAGAATATTAATCAGCTGGTTAAGTGGTACATTGCTTACCCTGCTGACAATCTTTAACATCCTGCGTAATAAGGTATAGTCTTTCTTCCGTAGCCCTGGAAAAACTAAGTGGGGGGACAGTAGAGAACAATAGGCAGTGTGCAAGAGTTAACGAATCGTAAGAGTAAGGGTTGGGTTATTCCAGAATGTCTTAACTTCTTGATGTAGAAATTATCAAGATATGAGACGACCAGGAAAGATAAACAGATAGAATGACGCCAAGATATTTAATTTCCGAGTTGGTCTCTATTTCAGTGTCATCTATGTTGCACACCTCGTGAGTGCTAACCAGTTTGTTTATAATTAAGCAAACTTATCTAATGTAGAAGTTTTTAGCCATTACCAAGATGTTTATTTTATTTTCCCTTGTAGACTAATTCACCACTTGATGCTACCAGCAATCCTGCATTATATACAACAAAAGAAATTGTCATTGTAAAAGATCCTGAAACAGATGATTCGAATGATCATACCAATCACAATATCAGACATAAGTCAATAACATTAATTATAAATACAGGTGAATCCTTGTCAACTGAAAAACAATCAGCCATGCTGAATACAAATCGTGAATTGTATACACTCAACGAAGTATGGAGATCCGTTGTGGATAAACGGATAAAATCTCCGACTACTATTGTCTATCAACTTGATAATGAATCCCTCGATCAGGTTATTGAAGCCTTGAATAAATTCTGGGGAAATCATAAATGTACAATATGCTGTGAAGCTGTTCACCATCACCATTGAACTCTGTGCATTGATGAATGTGTGTAATCTTTGTTTAATTCCCAATAATTAATGACAGAGTCATCACCAAAGAAAGATGGATGTTTACTATTCTTCTTTTTTATAACAAAATAGCTTAGTTTATATTTTTATTTTTATAACATATATGTATATTTGTACGTTTTTATCAGTTGGTTCCTTTGGGTTTTTATTATTATCATTCAGTTTATGTTTATTTTCGTTTTATAAATATATTTTTGTTCTTTCCTTCTGTCAATATTTCTCTCCTCCTTCTCGAAGTTGTTTTTCCCCGGTCTGTTTCTGAATAAAGAAACTTGATTGGAGTATGTTTGTGTAGGGTGGGGAGCGTTATTTTGTTTCCGGCTGCCCACGCGGTAGTTCTGTCGGACTGGTGTAAGTACAAGAAGGGTTATGAGTCTTCCTGTGATAATCATAGGGGGATTAGCTTCACTAATGTAGGATCTTAATTTTTAGGCTTTATAATCATGCGTAGACTAAGTAGTGCTTGGGAGGAAGAAACACGAGAGAACTACAGGAAGAGGGTGTATTGATCATGTTTTCACCTATTCAACAGATTCTCGAGCATAAGGTATAATTACTGCCAGCGTCTAACAGTCGTCATATTTCTTGACCTGGAAGTGGCATTCGATTCCGTTAACTGAGAGGTACAATAGCGATGTTTGGCTGTGAAGGGAATGTCGAGAAAATATATTGCACTGACCAAGGCACTCTACTCGTACCCAAGCAGCCAGGTGAGAGGTTACAGAGAGTTGATATCTGAAGTGGTGTTTGTCAGGGATGCCCACTGTCCCCATAACTTGTGTTCAGTTTCATCATAGATATACTAATAGACTTAACCCTAACTGACTTCACCGATTCGGGGATTGACTTGTTCACAGGGAATAATCTCTTTGACTTAGAATATGCGGATGATGATATAGTCCTTCTAGGTGAAGACGCTGACGAAATGTGCAGTCTTGTGGACACCTTGAGCGGCGATCTTTGAATGTTTGGCATGCGATTGGCTCCCGTCAAATGTAAGATGTTGCTACAGGACTGAACTACATTGACTGCTAGCTTAAAGATAGAAAGGGAGTGTATGGTTGGTGGGGCGTGTTGGCCACTTCACTTATTCAGGAAGTTGCATCAGCCAACACTAGGGAGTTAATTGCTGGCGAAATCCCAGCACGGATAAAGAAGGCTAGTTTGGCGTACTCCAACTTACTATATATATATTTCGACCTGGAAGAGGCTGTGTTGATCAATTATTCACACTGCGAAGAATTTTGGAACACAGGGACAAATTCCAACAGCCGACGGTTGCTTGCTTCATCGACTTCCAAGCGGCATTCGACTCAGTTGATCGAGGAGCACTCTGGTATCTAATGGAGCTCGACGGAGTTCCGACCAAGCTAATCAACCTGCTCAGGTCATACTACTCCAACACCAAAGCTCGAGTCCGAGTGAACGGTGAAGAGTCCCGCACTTTTGAGGTAACCAGCGGTGTCCGGCAAGGTTGTCCAGCATCCCCCATCCTGTTCAATTTCACAGTTGATTGGATTTTGCGGCACGCCCTAACCGAGCACCACGGCGTCCAACTTTCGCCCGATATTCACATAACCGACCTCGAATTCGCCGACGACGTCGTGCTGTTAGCTGAAAACTTCCCCGATATGCAACAGGCGCTCGACCAGATAAACCACCTCGCGTCTACTATCGGTTTGAAAATTAACACTTCCAAAACCAAAATGTTTTCGAACACATCCACCAGCAATGATGAAATCTTATCCTTAAATGGAGCACCTATTGAAATTGTGCCATCCTTCAGATATCTGGGATCCATAATGCTCCCCAACGGCCAAGCGAAAAACGAAGTGAATGCGCGAATCTCCAACGCCCGGAATGCGTTTCTACAGCTGAGGAGCGTTCTATGGAGCAAGAGAGAAATCAGTCTCAGGACTAAAATTCGGATCTACCAAGCTTCCATACGACCCGTTCTGCTGTATGGCTGTGAAACCTGGCCTCTTCGCGCGGAAGATTTACGCAGACTCGAGGTATTAGACCATTGGTGTCTCAGGTACATTCTGCATGTTCGTTGGCAGGACAAACTCTCCAACGAAGAAGTGCGTCGGCGTTGCTACAACATCAACCAAATTCCAGTACTGGTCCAACAACGCCGCCTTCGGTGGTTTGGCCATGTTCTGCGCCGACCAGATGACGATCTGGTCAAATCAGTTCTAAATCCCTCGCCATTACCATCTTGGCGATGTCGCAGAGGCGGACAGCTGAAGACATGGCTTGGTACAGTCAAGGCAGATATGGAGTGCCTGGGGCTACAAACGGTCTACGGACTCCGTATGTGGAACAAGAATTGGATATCCCTATCGCAAAACCTTGCTTCAGATCGCCGCGCCTGGGCAGCGATGATTCGAGACGTTCATGAAGCCGGCTCATCCTCCCGTAGGAGATAGCCGAAGTAAAGTAAGTAAGTAAGTAACTTACTCTATCTGTGGCGTACACGTGATATCCGACTGTCAACCAAAGGACGTGTGTACTGCTCGGCGGCAGTTCTCTCTGTCCTCCTTTTATGACGGTGAGTGAGACATGACCATTGAAGGTGGAAGACATGAAAAAGCTACCTATCTGTCTTTGGTCATAGGTGTCTGCGTTCCATCTCCCGTGTTAGCGGTATAATAAGGTGAGCAATACCGAGGTGAAGCGTGAGTACTAGGTAAGGAGGAGAAATCAATTTACGAGGTTATGAAATTACACCGATTGAGATGGTTAGGAAGTGTGTTATGCATGCCTAGCTATCGCCTTCTTCGAGGAGCAATGCTAGTTGACATAGGATCACGTTGAAAAAGATAAAACCTAACAGTGCTATTTGCTGATGACATCTCGAGCACAATCACACCAAAGTACTCACACAACTTTCCGATTTCTTTTATATACATGAGTCACAAATTGACAAGATATCAATGGAATATTATACGGTGGTGTATAAGACGAATTTTGTCAGTAAAATAAAATAAGATTTTTTTGTTTTTTTCATTTAAATGTTAGAATGTGATGACGTAAACTGAAATAAAACAAAGCTAGAATGGAACATTTCTTATCCTTTAATTTGATTTATAGTAATATCTTCCATATCTCTGGTATTCGTACTGAGTCATTTCTATTGCATGTGTTGGTTGTAGATTCGACGAAGAAAGATTCCGTAATCAACCTCTCCCTTCATCGATCTATATTAATTTTTTCGAATTGTAACTGTATCCCATCCTGTTGTGTGTTAATGCATGCAACGAGATTGCTGAGTTTTTTTTCTAAATTACTTCATGGGATTAATCATTCTAAATTCTTTCGTTCTGATAGTCTGACTACCCTGATCTACTAGTGTGACCTATGCATTTGTCCTCACAAACATTGCAAGGTATTATTTAATTCAATTTTAGATTTTCCCGTTGATTGATTGGACCGAAGTGCTCGGACCCCGGTTAACTTGTCGGCTTCTTGTGCAGATACTTCGACGATGTCTGGGCAAGTAATCAGAAGTGGACACGTCAATCTGAGACCGAGCACTTCGGTCCAATCAGTCGACAGGAAAATTCTAAAATTGAATTAAATAATGAATATTAGCAGTTGCTTAAGAGGTGGCCCAAGTGATCTAGTGGATAACGCTTTGGCGTTTGAAACTATGGGCACGGGGTTCGAGCTTCGATGGGAACATTATCACTCATTGCGGAATGAAGGTAAATCCAGTTGACGAATCCCGAGTAAGGCGAAATGCTTACCCTGGACTCCACTGCAAGTCATCATCTACTGAAGTACTTCAGGGTGATCCTCAGACATCGTTGAAGTGTGTCCATACTAGAAGCCAACATGTCAGCGGGAGGCCAGACATTTTAGTCAGACCAGCCGACGAGAAAATCGAAATGAAATTAAAAATAACACAACATAATTTTACCTCAAAAAAAAGTAGACTGACTGGATTTCAACATAGAACAGTGAACGGAAGTTAATCACCTCAAGTTCCCACACTCCATGTAGTCCAAGAAGGTAACGAAAATAATCCGAAAGAACCATAATAAGCAGCGATGTGCACGAGAAGGAATTACTAACATGGCGAACTGGCTGATATGGGAAACATATTGCAACAGTTTCTCTTTTTTTACAAATAAAATGGTTAGATGATAAAACCTCAAAATCACCGAAAATACCCATTGAGTTATGGAGAAAATAAAAGACAAATTCAGCGGAGAAAATTTTCTTTATCGATGAAATCGTCTTCGGAGGCTGTACAGTCTATATTTATACTTACCAAAAGTGTATAATGGTCTATTATTGAGTAATAGCCACATAGAGAATGGATATCCTCCAAGATTTATCGAGAAAAGCATGAAGTTAAGAGAAAAGCCTGAAACGGCCCAGATGGTGCCGAAGAAACTGCTCTTTATGAGCGTCGAATTTAAAGGTGACACCTCAGCTGAGATTCTGAAGAATCGCCTATGCAGATCACTGATGAAAGCCTTGTTTATGGCTGAGCTAGGTATAAATTTCTACAGCTGACAAATGATCAATGGATGTGTGAAGGATAAACTGCCGCTTTGGGCCACCTCAATGTATGTTTATAAATTCACCTGCTCGTGTGGAGCTAGTTATATTGGCAGCACACTTTCCAAACGCATCTCTGAACATTATCCGGCATGGTTAGCAAAAGGACAATGCAAGACAATTACTAGTTCAATTCTCAAACACTTGGTGAACTCATGCCACGCAGCTCCACCAGAGTCGTCATGTTTCAAGATTATCTACAAGGTGAGGCCAAATGGTACAAAGGGCTTCAGTTTTCGGCTTTTGTATATGGCGGAGGCACTTGCAATTCGTCAATATAACCCTGAACTCTGTATACAGAAAAAGTTTGTCCAGTCTCTTATTCTACGTTTGTCTTAATCTCTTCCCTAATCGTTCCCTGTAGAAACTTTCGATCTTTTATTTTATTTTTAATTTTAGTTTGCTTTTGTTTTAATAATTAATTCACTATTATCACTCTTATATTTTCCTTTTGTACATTTTCACACTTGTTAAATTGACACTCAACTACCTTTAATTCTCACTCAATAGCAATTTTAACCTTATCAAATTTCTATCTTTGTGCTGTTGAGTACCACGTAATTTACAACTTTTAGTTTTTTTTACTTCTAAAGCCACTTCTGAGTCAACAGAAGACAAGGGTCAGGCAACAGATCGTTTATTAAGGAAATCAACACATATTTATAGATTTTCATTTACATTATTCAAGATTATTGTTAGCAGAAAAACACAGTCTTCTGATTGGTTGTTTCCCACTGAAAGTTAATTTTTCATCTCTTTGGGGCTGTTTCTTGAATGTCAGATCATCTATATGCTAACTGTAACCGCCTACGCAAAGTCTGCTGTGGTTGGTTGTTGAATCAGTCTTTGTTCTTATTTTTCTCACGACTAATATTGGGGACGTAAACATTGACTTAAATTACTGTCTACCAACTTTGGCTAGCAGCCAGCTCTCACCACAACTATGTCACCCCCCTATTACTCAATAATAGACCATTATACATTTTTGGTAAGTATAAATACGACTGTACACAACCTCTGAAGATGATTTCGTCGATAAAGAAAATTTTCTTTGCTGAATTTGTATTTCACTTTCTTCAAAACCTCAAAAACTTAGAGTTAATCGATGAATCATAAAACACATAACCAAAGCTATAGGAATTAATTCGAGAGAACAATCCTAGTGTCTTTGCATACAAAAGAAGTTTGTTCTACTTTTGCCTAGGTGAATCCTATTCAAAACCCTCCCACCCTTTCTTATTTTCCATCTCCTTCGTACTTTTATGATATTTATTTAAACTCTGATTTTCTATCTGTCCACTTCACCTTTAGTATTACGTGACTTTTAAGATTTTCCCTAATTTATTTATTTATTGAATTGTCTACATATACACATATTACTACCTTTGTTATTCTTATCGCCATTTGCATGAACCTTATTACTGACGTTCAAAACATTTACCACACTATTATTTGATCCACAAACTCACCGTCGTTGGTTAAATTCTGTTTAATATATAAATCTGCGTAAATTAGAGTAAAGCCTGAAGAAGACCTAATTGAAAATTACAATATTGCTCGCTTATATGCCTTGTTCTAATAATAATGGTATTAATAAAATGATGCCTACCTACGGATTATCAAGCAGGTTTATGATCTCTTTTCTAACATTTGTCTGGTCACATAACGCCCACGCTAAATATGACACAGTTGAATTTTTATGTTTAGCAGACGTACGAGCAGAAATTCCTATAAAAATTCTTCTGGTTCTACCCGCACGCATACAATGAGAAATTTGCGAATAACATAGACGATGTTCACTATTCAACAAGAGAACTACGAAGAATTGATCTTAGTCATTGTTTGAGTACTTCTACAAATACAAATTTCGACTGGAACATCATCCATTCAGTAAATAATACTGCATGAATCTCACTGTGATTACGTTGGTAGTCCAGTGGTCGAATGTTTGCAAGCTATACAGAAGCGGTTAGCGTCTAATTTCCGGCCTACAAACTTCTTAATCTCTCACAGCCGGTAGTCAGCGTGAGGCTAGTGACCTCACTTAATTAAAAGATAAAATCACTGATTTTTTCCTTCACGTTCCCCAGTGGAACATAGGGCTTCAAGCAACAGGCTTGAAGTTTCTGTAGCAATGTTTATTTTTACAGGATGGGGTTGCTAGCCTCATGCTCAACCTTTACCAGCTTTATTTCTGGCTTAGTGAGGTAAAGGAGTGCGTCGGTGGGGACCGAACCCCGGACCATGTGAATGGTGGGCGAGCGTCCTAACCGCTATGCCACCGACGCACATAAATGATCTACAGTTTCATTTAAGTAAAAATCTTTGCTTAATCCTGCTCATACTACCGAATGTAATGTCTTAAAATAATGTCAAGTGGCAATTTCTGCAGGAGTGATGACAGGGATTTGTACGTGGAATCATGCAAAACTGACAAGAACTATGGCAGTAATCCTGCATCACTGACACTGAAACTTAAATCCTTGAAGTCCTGTATACCACTCAGAATGCAACATTAAATAAAAGGAGCAATTGTATTACGCTTTAGGTGTGCATAAGGCGTGGTCCGAACAGACTACAGTTGTGAAGAATCTTTTGCTATCATTTATCGTATACCCCGAGTAGTACTTCACAAACAGTGGAAGTCAATATCTAATCGCTTAAAACAACCAGAAAATTGTCTACAATCTCTCTCTGATTGATATTCTTAGATGGAATGTGAGAATCATGCATAAAATATCACATGCACACACAAAGCTTTTGAACTGACTTCATTGAAAGAAGAACAATACTGACGTCAGCAACAATAATTTTTCTCCAGCTATTATTTTCTATAGTTTGGTTTGTAAGGGTTAGTTTTGTTTTTACGAGTTGATCACGGATTGATATCAGTTAGAGAACTATTGAGAACCAACCAGGGAGTACTGGACAGATGTTTCATCCCCTCTAGTTTGGGAATCATCGGCAGTACGCACCTACACCACAGGGGTTCGAACCCAGGACCTTCCGGTTACAAGGCAAGCTGGCTCGTACACCATTTAGCCACTGGAACTCGATTCAATGGGTCATGAATTCTAACTTCTACCAATTCATGATTTAGCGCGACCCCAACCATCGTTATAGGTGGGACAGTGGTTAGGACTCTCGCCGACCATACACATGGCCCGGGGTTCGAGCCCGCACCGACGCACACCTGATATCTATGGTCGGCCTGCAAAATTTGGGCTACCGATATCCATGCTGAAAATTCCATACTTGTACCGAAAATACAGTGTGGAATCAAGCTGTAAATAAAAAAAAATCCATCACAGCAGAGCCTGATGATGAAATTATCGAAATGATTATTCACATATTCTCCAATCAATTTTATTCATAAATAAAATAAAGTAAAACAAGGTCCTTTTACAGGATTTCATCATGAGCTGACATTGGTTAGAGAACCATTGGAAAACCCGGGAGTACGTACCAGCTGTTTCGTTCTAGTTTGAGACTCTTCAGCAGTACGCACCCACCGAGATTCGAACACAGGACCTTCTGGTTACAAGGTGACCTCGTCTGGCTGTCCAGTACTCCCAGGTTTTCCAATGGTTCTCCAACCAATGTCAGCTCATGATGAAATCCTGTAACCAATCAAACAAATCCCTACAAACCAACACTTGAATATCAATGAGATGCTCACTAGCGACTTGCCCTATTCAGGGAGGTGGTTACCCGGGGTTCTAGTGATAAGTTGTGACCAGTAGGGTGCAGCAGGTTGGGTGTGAGGATAAATACTCGTCAAAGACATTGGGCTAGGGGTAGCGCTATGTTGTGAATTGGTAGAAGTTAGAATTCAGGGGCCATTGGGCCATTACCCATTCTACTTCACTCTTATACTTGTCAGACTGTATTGATTCTCTTCACTCATCTTCTTGTCTACCTCTGTGTGCTATTTGGAACGTGGCAACTCAAACTGCTGCACTTCGGTGCCAAGTTCTATGTTGAATCCAGACAGACAGATTGGATCGGGTCCCAGTGGCTTAATGGTATACGAGCTCGCCTTGTAGCCAGAAGGTACTGGGTTCGAACCCTGTCGGTGGCTGCGTACTGATGAAGAGTCCCAAACTATGACGAAACCGCTGTCCAGTACTCCAATAGTTCTCTAACTAATGTCAGCTCATGATGAAATCCTGTAACCAATCAAATCCCTACTAACCAACACTTGAAAGTACTTTTACTTTATTATCATTTATTTTATTATTTTACGTCCTGAGTAGAACATAAGGCTTCAAGCTAGACCTCTAAAATTTCCGGTAACAGTGATAGTTTTTCTTACGGAGTGTGGCTTCTAGCCTCACAGATAGACCAATCTTCCCTCTTTACCAGGCTTACTACTACTAGCTAGATAAGGTAAAGGAGTGGCGTCAGCCAGGGATCAAACACCGGACTATTTGCGTCGTCAGCCATATGTTCTACCAACCTCTTAACCATCAACGCTACTTTTATTCACTTTAATCAGGTTCATTTATGATGCATAGAAATGAATATATATACATACATGCAAGGAAAAACAGAATATACTACTTATATAACAATAATTGAATAGAGTACGAAATGGTATACAATATGCCTGTATAAATACAGATCAAACAAGATTGTGTATGTGTACGATAGGAAAAGATTGAATGGCAACAGCAAAAAAGGTAACTGTACAAAACGCGCACAGTACACTATTACTATACAATTTGCTGAGGATGGGGCGGGAGGGAGAAACGGGAAGGAAGCTAACAACAGAATATTACAAATGTTTAACAATAAAAACGATGATAACAAATGCAAAAATGGAAAGTTTATTTTTCGAAAAAATATATGCATACAGTTTTTTGTTTCAAGAAAGATTTAATATGGTACAACTCTTCGACCATTAACTTTAAAGCTACTACTGCTAGTACTACGTTCTTCAGCGGTTGACAGTTTATCATACGACCTTTTATCATAATCTCGTGACTCTTTACCACTACCTCCGCTGAGATGATCTCGACTTTTCAATATGACATCACCATTATCAATATCCATTTGTCGATGACGGTATTTAGTAGTTGGATCCAATTGACCAGAATGATGATCATAATATTTTTCATCTGAACGACGATTTTTAACCATAACTGGCTGTTGTTGTTGTAAGGATGGTTTAATAGCACGACGATTAGCCGTCTCCAATGATGATAAGCGTGTATCTTTCATCATCATATAGGCATTATTATTAATAGTACTAGTAGTAGTATTATTGACATCAATCGCTGAGGGGTGAGGAATTGTAATCGCAACATCGATCATATCACCAATTGTAAATTGAACATCCTATAGTAAAATGTAAGGCGAAAGAAAATACTGAATATGCACATATATAATTACAATTTGTACTAAACGAAGAACCAGACACACACATGAAATCACTTGCTATCACCTAGTGTCCAGTCGAAGTATCCATCACACTCCTACAGGAGGGGTCAAGTGCGAGGCTGAATAGCTTAGTGATGAAATGTCTTTGACTGCACAGCACTGGGAAATCCGGATTTGAAACTCAAAAGATGGCAGAAACGCCTTGTTCATAAAAGTGTCATCGAGCACCAAACCTTAGTTAGGCAGTGCTTCCTGCTGATTGCTTCTAACCATATAATAACAATGCAGAGTGCATTGTGACGATGAGACACCTAGTATGATGGTTACACTGCACATCTGACTGATAGAATTCTGATGTTCACTAATGACTAGATGCAGGACGAAACTGACTGGAGTTCTAGTGAGAAGTCGTGACCAGTGGGGTTCGCTAGGTCGTGACTGAGGACAAATACTCGTCCATGACATTGTATGGCCGTCACGCTAAAATCACGAATTGGTAGAAGTTGGAATTCATGCACAGGCCACTGAGTCGGGTCCCCGCGACTAAGTGGTCTACTAGCTTCCCTTGTAACCGGAAGGTCTTGAGGCTCACAACCCAGTGGGTGCGTGCTGCTGGTGAGTCCAAACCTAAGATGGAACAGTTGTCCAGTACTGCCTGGTTTTCAGTGATTTTCTAACTGATATAAATACGCGGTCAAAATCTTGATAGGATTCAGTCGGCACCAACACTAAGAACTACACTCAAGACATTAATTACTGCCTGATATTCAGTCGACATATATAACGCCTAATATCTGTGAAAAATTTATGCAGTGTGGGATAGAGGTAAATTATAATTATATTTCAATTAAAAAACAATTCCAACAGTTAGTGTAATCATGGGTAGTAATTTTACTTGAAACGTATCATTATGTAAACCATTAAAATATAATTATAATTAATTATGCATAACGCTTTATAAAAATCTGATACTGCTAGAACACATTTCTTATGTACCATGCTTTAAGCCACGACCGCTGATTGATAATACCCTAATCCAGCTGCCTAGGGTGCGGTGAGTTGATTAGGAAATCGAATCTAAGAGTCACTGACGACCGGAAGTTGAGTGTTTAAACCAATGAATAATATTCCTCTCTGTCTCCCAAAGTTCCACGAATATGAATGATTCCTATCTTTGTCATATTATTACTTTCAAATACCCCCCCCCCACTTTAAACGACCTGGTAAGGTGAGAGTGGGCAAACTTCGGCCTTCTCGAAATTCCCCTATTTAGCCACGCGTTTATAACGTTTTCCAGGTGAATCCTATTCACTATCTTCACACGGAGGGGGTGTTTCTCCCAAAAGTGAAAGGACGAATTCGAACGTCGGGCTATAATATAATCAGAATTGCGGACATACAGGTCTATCTGGAGGAGTGGAAAACCATGATTCTAAACCAGTGGTGAAAATGAAGGCTCCATAATCCGAATAGATTGAGGTTGTCGAAAAGAATATTCTCTCCTCAACCTCATTTTGTCTTCCAAAACAAAATTGTCATTCAAGCGACAATAACTACAACAACAACAATGACAAAAAAACCAATATGTGAAGGACAAAACAACAACCCCTTCACCTTTAACATAATACGATCAGTGTCTGATGGACAACCAGAGCATACTGTACCCAATTCACGCATTCTGTACATTGGTGAACGATGATCGGGAAACACCAGTGCAAAATCGAACAGTGTGCCTTTTCTACGTGATTCTGGATTGACTTGTTTTACTAGTGATGCCAGCTCCCTTAATGTTGCATCAAGCCTTTTGAAGTATTGACAATAAAAATATCAAGAGTAAAAGAATTTAATTAAATATTTGATAAAGATTAAAACAAGAATAAAACATCGTACTGAATCTATATAATAACAGAAGGGAATAGATGAACACATTGTACAATTTTCAAGCAATTAATTATGCTGAATAATCTCTTGGTTTTTACCTGTACTTACTATATGATTGACTGGGTTTTTCAGGTGGAACTTCTCACAGAAGTGCAACAGTTCAAGTTGCCACACTTCATATACCACAAAAACGTACAGCACTCTAATCAGGACAAATGTACAGGATAAATGCGAAGACTTAATGGATTTGGATGATTACCAAGGGTAAATACATATGTGCTACTGAGTCTGGTTTTAAGCCATATTGCTAACGGTCATTGGTTCTCAGAGTCTCGACGACCCCGAATAGACAGTCTAAACCTCCTTACGTATCCTACGATAGAATAAGTCTCTCACATTCCAGGTTATGAGCCAAGCCTGTCCTTATAATTGCTGGCTGAAGCAGACGGAGCGGTATTTGATCCATGACACAGTGACTAAAGGTCGAGTGCGCAATCCAGTGAGTCAAGTATCCGCTAATTCCTTATAATCCCAGGATATCAGATCATTAGACAAGCTCGTCGACCGTCTGGCCGCTACGACATATGGCTCGAACTAACGGTCGGAGTCTTCATAAAATGATGTGAAGTTTTGATTTGACGACCCCTAATTTTTCTCCAACTTAATTCCATATCAACTAACATAGCTAAAAAAGGAAGACAGTGGTTTAACATGCCCATCCAATCCAGATTTACTTGTACTGTTTAAAACGTTTTATGCTACACTGCCTCAATTATAACATAGTGTTTACTTCCTACTAGATAACACAAATCTGTAGTATATAAGTGAAGTAAACAGAGTAAGCAAAAGGAGTACAGATATAAGTGACTCATATTTTTCAATATAAACAAAAGAATATTCGGCAGATATAAACTGTCCGAGATTATACATACGCACACATGCTATGGCTCATTATGACTGCATTGTCATGAAACCCATTTGACTTTTTGTATGGCCTACAAGAGGATACAAACTAGACTAGAGCTACAAACAGACACTGCACTACTACTACCTCAGGTTTCAGACTGGCTGGCTGAAATTTCTGGGACGCAAAACCTCTGTGATTGCAGGCTGGTGGTGATATGGTTGAAAATATGTTCTCAATGAGTTCACCTTTTGCCATTTCCTAGTTCCATTAAATCCGCACTATTCACTTCATGTAATTATTATTTGTTCCTCACATTTCCAAATCTTTTGTCTACTTTCATGTACTTTTGCGAAGTAGAGCAACGCAAAGTACTCCACTATTTTGCAAAGTTTTACGTGGAAATTCGGCTTCCACGACAACATTTATAACGAAAATGAGGATAGTTAAAATGGGGATCAGAAAATGACAGCCCTATATACTATTGTAACGGTTCAGTGCATCAAAGTTCTGAAAATTACACGCAAAATAGAGGAGGAATGTATTGACACTACAACAGACTTACACACTGTACGAAAGAGAAAATATTCTGATGCAGACTAATGAGCAACAACATATTTGTAATGCTACATATCGAATACAACAAGATTGGTATGAAGTTTTCAAGCCGCACGCTTAAGTCTACCACCACAGATCTTATCATCTTGCTGGCTCAGGAGTGCATTCCACACATGCTACATATTCTGGTACAATAATCGCGTACTAAATGCTAGCAACTGAGCCATTTCGATTACTTAATTATTGCAGTGGCAAAATACATTTACGTGTTTTTTAACTACAAGAAATTTTAATACACGAAACCGAAGTTCTTAATTGTGTTTTTAGAGCTAGATAGTACTGAAAATTTTGTAAGCTCCACGTACTAATCAGAGACATAATCAACACCTCCAGTGAAGTTTCTGAATCTATGCAAAGTTATTAGTAGTCAATAATCCAGCTAGCAATGAATTCGGGAGTATTGCAGAAATTTTGGAGCAGACTTCAGGTGATTGTCCCACATTCTGCAATGCACCCGAAGAAAATCTTAACTGGTTTAAACCATTAACAGAGATCATTAAAGCTCGAGCTTGAGTGTCCTAACTTTCATCATATTTTTAGCAGCGGAAATTTCCAGCTAAATACATTAATCATGATCAAAGATTTGGTATTGTTATCTGTCTATAATATTTATTCTAACAAGTCTTTATACTAATTATAAACCAAGATGTCTTACCACGTATATACTTGGAGCTCATTGAGTGGCGTACGACCTCTTGAATACTCCAGAACATTATTGTGTTTCTTTGTACTACAAAACATTCTTAATAACAATGGGCACGTCTTCTCCCGATTCACACTGCCATCTTCCAATGCAGTCATCCTTACGGTTTAAAACCTACTTCCTAGGTCATTACTATGGTCGTTCAATAACCAATGTCGTTTACATGAGTTAATGTAGAGAGATCTGACTTCTTTGTGCTCGTTTCTTGGTTTAGAGTAAAAATTCCTGGTCCTCGACAAACTTCTGCGTAGTTCGCGCAGCTCCTCTACTGTCGTTGTTATTGTTAACTGCAAAAGAAATGCTGACGGGATTAATTATATGTAATTTTGGAGTATGGGGTGTGTTACGACTGTGTTGCCACTGTGAATGGAGTTGATACTTCCATCTGTTGATCATCCAGTGTGGCCGCAAAAAAGGGATACTAATAGCATATATAATTAGTGTAGGTTATGCAGACTAAAAAAGAAAGAAAACGTAAACACAGGTAGCTAGTGAAATTTGAAATTTATATATATATATATATAGTAGGCATATGTAAATATATATGTACGTATAAATATCGATAATAATAGTAATGTGAGGGACGTATTACTTGGAGTGGTCAGGAGTTTAATACAAGAGAGAATGTGAAGAAGTAAAACGATGAGTTTAGATACATACCCAATCATAGTATGTGATTACTAAGGTGAAAGCCGTTTGGATGCAGTCCTTGTGTCGCCGCATCAAGTGCCTTCCAAGCCGACGGTAGGTAAGTGTGAAGAAACTTGATTTCTTTGGTCATTCACCATATTGTTTTGTTTCGGAAACAAACTACCCCTTCTGTCACCCATTTTCGGACCATTTCTGGAAAGTTCGCGCCTCTTCTAAACAGTAGGGTGCAATTATACTGTGCACTTCAAGGTGTGGTTAACGTATGTTTGTACAATAAACAAGTGAAAACATTTGTATTTTTGATTTTATAAGTAGGTTTAACGTCATACAAAGTCAATATCAGAGTCTGGCATTCGTGGTGTCGGAAGAAACACGCCTGCAAGTTTTACTTATAAGATTACGGGACAGTTCATGTAAACCTTCAATAAATACTGTTCATGCACATGAGTTACTGTCCAGTAATCTTTGGAAAATATAACTTTCTCCTTCAACAGATGTAAATAATAGCTACTTTATCAGGAACGTCACTGTATTGGGATCGAAAGCAAGAATTCAGCAATGAAATGATGCAGGTTTATGCATACCGTGCGCATGAATTCAGCTAATATTAGATATAGAATATAATACTTGCCCGGCATCATTTTCTAGATGATATCTAGCAAAGCAGCATTGAATTTTCTGTTTTAGAGACACCACATAGTTAAAAATTAGCATAGCTGCAGTGACAAATAATTCCATTAAATCACCAGCTAAAGCTCTATCAGTATTCCACACTGTTTGCAAATCTCTACCGTTCTGGTTGACTGATTAGGTTGATAATGATTACTGAGTTATTCTTCTCATCTGCCGGACAAATGTATTTCTGTTCTGAAAATACAGCTGTAGTGTTTTTCAGTTCTCCTGCGCAGTGTCACTACTATTGGCCCCAAGTGTTCGAAGTCTACTGAAGAGAAAAGGTATCTGCCTCTCTCAACTCGAGCCGTCAGCATGGGTGCCACAAGCTGACACCAGCTTAGAACTTCTTCTCCTACAGCGCATATGACTTCCGATGACGTTCCTCATTGCTGCACCTTCTCGAAATATTCAAAACCTTTCTCTGACAGCTTCCAGTACCTGCATGGCACACATATACCTTTCGATATCGCGGAAGTGTCTTAGAACCGACTGTATGACGTTTATTTCGAAGGCGGTATTACCGGGTGTTTCTCTTAACCGGGCCAAAACAGGGTTTTGAACTGACTGCCTCCACAAACCAAACCATTTATTAAGATATCATTAACTACCTAAGCAGATTCTTAAATTCTACCACCTGAATCATTCTAATGATGTTGTCAATGTAGTTGAAGATTGAACGATCAATTCTTGGTTGTTTGCTCAAAATCAACTTCCTCGATTTTCGCGGAGGCATCAATACGACAGTCATCGTCTCATCGGTCGCTGTTCAGAAAGAAGACTGAAACATCGTCAGAAGTAACAACGATTTATTATTGTAATATTTGTTTACAGACCTTAGTTTACTTAGTTCGTTTATTCCTTTTATATGTTGGTGTAACAATAAAGAAATAACAAGCGGCAGATCGGTGTTTTGGTTTTTGCGTCCGTTATTACTAAGCGTTTCTGAAAGTCAAAGGAACAGCGTGGGCCCGAGCGTAGCGAGAGCTGGGCATTAACGGTTTATGAGACGAGATTGACAGTTTCTGACGATAGAAACAGATCTGCCGGATTCAAACAGTTGGTGACAGTTTGGATAGTCGCCGTTCATTTTTCCTGGTGCCGGTCAAGTCCTCTTTGAACAAGCAATATCTGGAACGTTTTTGGAATTGGGTCAAGTTCAACAATGCCTGGGTCAAAGAAGGGACAGAGTGTCTTGGATGCAAACAGGAAAGTAAGTCATGGTGACTTGTCTGTTAATTGTAACGATGTGTCTGATGTTAAGCATGACATGTTTGATGTTACTGTTTCGCCGTTCAGGGATAGTAGGAACATCAAACTCCCTAAATTTGAACCACGGTGTTTCGATGGAAACCCGGCTGATTATTTACAATTTGTAAAGGAGTTTGAGATCATGCTGAGTAGTTTTTTATTAAGTGATGAATTGAAATTGATGTATTTGACGAGGTATTGAACTGGAGATGCTGCAAGAGCTATACAGTGCTGTAAGCTCATACCCTCTAATGAGGGATACGCTGAGGCTATGAGCATATTACGTCAAAGGTTTGGAGGACCTTCGATGATTGTAAGGAACGTATACGAAGCTGTCAAAGGTAACGGCAGTCAACTTCAAGATGACTCCAAGGCAATTACTGAGTTTTTAGATAATCTTATGACTTATAAGAATACCTTGATTTCGATGAATCGCATTAGTGACCTCAACTCGAGTTTTATACTGGAAGTAATAGCAAGACGCCTACCTACTCGACTGCGTGAAGATAAGCTCCCGTATGAAGAATGAGGGTATCGAGCCAAAATTTGATGATATCCTGGAACTAGTAAACGATAGTGTCAGTCAATCTATGAGCAAGTTTGCCAGTATATTGAATCTCACCCCTAGAAAAGAACAATCTGAGATCAAAATGCAATCATTGATGACGAAAGGGCCTCAGAGAGGTGGATATCGAGAAGGCTCCATGATGTATAGTAGTGCATATAGACCTAGTCAGTGTAACCGGTTTCGTAGTACATCCTCAACAGATAAGTTACAAGATGCAAGACAAACACGGTTTTGTTTTACACGTGTGCAAGAGGTGCATACAGAAGTGAACTGTGAACCAGTGAGCAAGTTCAGTGATAAGCTAAATGTAAACTCCAGGTCTGACTCCGAATTGTGTGACGATAACGGTGTGGTCAAGAAGTCTGTAGTTGCAACTGGTAAGCCATTGTTGAATAGCATGCCACAGAAGAGAGTTACAGTTTCAGAGTGCAGTTTTGACTCCACAAGCTTACAAGGTATTACTAGTCAGAGTGAAGGTATAAAATCTTTAGGTATTTGTGAGGAAGAACATAAATCGTCTACTGCTGTTAATAAAGAGTTTGAAAATGATGAAGTCTACCAGATAGATGATGGTAAATTGAATATTTGTGATAATGATCATGATAGTGCAGATTTGTCTTTGGTTGATCATGATGAAATGAGTGGAGTGCCTACTACTGCTAAGTTGAACAAAGTTTCTGTACAACTTGAAGGTGAAGTAGAATTAAATGCAGATACAGTTGCAGAAGGCATGCATACTTGTCAAACCGTCAGTGGTATTGATCAGCATGTAGCCCACCTATCATCAGATGCTAGTGCTAAACCTGAGCTGATACTAAAATACAACAGAGGTAATCTTGCAGTTAGACAAATATCTGAAAGCCGATCAACAACAGCTTCTGATCCACCACTAAGTTCATCAACTGGTATCAATCAGTTGTCGTTGGTGTTGTCATCCACAACGAAACAGAGGCCCATCAACTCAAGTATCTTGTGCAATGACTATGATAGTATTAGTGCGTTTGAAAAGACGAAAGATATTGCTCAGTTTAGTGAGAGTAAGCCAAGTGTAAACGAGAGAGTAATTGTTAAATTGACTTGCATGAATAAGGACATTTCTAGTTTCAAGTTGCTATTTGAATGCTATTATCTTTGGTGTAAATTACTCTGTGCCTGCGCTTGGTTGACCAGATACGTCGTGTGTTTGTTAGTCATCTATATTCTACGATACAATGACATAAGTGTGTTACTATTCAGATTTGAGGATATAGCTGATAGAGGGAAGTCAGAAAGTGAACTCTGCAACGATTTTCCAACCTAGGGCGTCAACCTGAGAAGGGTTGTAGGCGTACTGCTGTAAGTCCTACAATTCTTCAAAGGGTAGCGCATCAATGAGCAGTCCAATGTGCTGGGTGTGTGATTTTGTACATAAGTTCATATTGTATATACTGAATTGATATCATCTGTCATCTAGCTGTTGGTAATTCTGTTTGTGTTCGGACGACTTCCACTTGGATCATCAACCTGAGAAGGAATGTAGGCGAACTACTGTAAGTCCTACGGTTCTTCAAGGGTAGTTTGTCGTGCCAGAATCCATAACATTTGATGTGTTGATTGTACATATGTTTGTGTTAATTAATTGTGTGAGTTCCAATTATTGTAATTGTTGGTTAATCTTGTGTGTGTCCGGACATTCCACAACTTACAATCGTCAACCTGTGAAGGATTGTAGGCGTACTGGTGTAAGTCCTGCGATTCTTCAAAGGAATCCCATCAAGACATGAACTGCGAGTTTGTGTGTACTGTTTGTATATATGTGTGATGTGTCATATCAATTAGTGTTTTTGGATTCATTGTGTTTACTCGTTGTTTTCGTACCTTGTTTTTATTGCATAATTTTGTTAAAATTTTCGTCGTGATTACTTCTGAAGTTGTGTCCACTCTTCTACATCCGTGAATGAATTGATTGATGTTAAG